TGCAGTAAGGGACAAGGAAAAAGGAAGCTTAGATAGGGGGTGGGATCCAGGGGGGGTGGTTAGGGGCAGGGGTCCTGGAGGGGGCGATCAGGGGACAAGCAGCGGGGGGGGGGTTGGATGGGTTGGGGGTCCTGTGGGGGGCAGTCAGGAGCCAGGAAGTGGGAGAGAGTCAATAGGGAGCGGGACTACCCCCCTCCCCATGGAGTGTCCTCTTTTTTGAAAGTTCAAATATGATAACCATAAAGTTGCCCCCTACGGTTGGGGGGTGCCTGGGTTCCCCCCTTCTGAGCATTTAAGGGTGAATCTTCCCCATGGCCATGGGGAGCATGGGGCGGGGGGACGTCATCGCCTGCCTCTGGCTCTCCACCTTCCCGCAGCTGGCAAGAGGTGACCCAGCTCAGCTGGAGTTTTGGCCAAAAAACAAATCCCTCCACACACACCCCATCCGCCGACCACGACTCTGTGAGTGGGGAGCCCATCTCCATCCCCCCATCCCGCTCACCACCATTCCCTTTCCACCTCCTCCCCATCTCCTGTTTCCCCTCAAACGCCCATCCCGTGACCCCTCCAGCACCCACCTACCTGCCCCCCTTCTGTCTTCCCTCAAATTCCTTTCCCCACTCCCTCCCTGATCTCAGTACGTCTCCCCCTAATTCCTACATCCCCCAACTTCGGCCTGTCCCCCCAAACTCCTGTACCTTGCTGCTCTTTGCAGAGGGTCTCACAGGCCCAGAGGGTTCAAGGGGTTTGGAAACTCTCTCCCTCATCAGCGTTACACAGGCCGGGGGCCGGGGCTCCTTTCAAACCGAGCCCCTGGTTCTACTCGGCTCCTGGGCAAACCCCCAGCAGCAGCCGTTCAAAGGCAAAGCTTTCGGGTTAAACCCCTGGACAAGGAATCAAACCCAGCCTGTCTATTGAAACCAGGGCCGGCTTTAGGAAGTGCAGGGCCCGATTCAAATAGTTTCGACGGGGCCCCGGCAGAGTTGACTTAAAAAAAAAAACATAATAAAAACACATGGGGCTTGTACTCACCGGGCCGCGCTCCTAGTCTTTGGCGGCGGGTCCTTCACTCGCTCCAGGTCTTCGGTGGCACTGAGGGACCCGCCGCCAAAGACACAGAGCACCGTCCGGTGAGTAAAAATTAAAAAGGCGCCTCTAGCCAGGGAAGGGATTCTCTGCCACTTGCCCCCGACTCTGGGCGGCCCTGCCACT